AAATAATTTAAATGCATTATTAAATGATTCAAGAGATCCTCAATTTGTTCTTGAAAGGTATTACCAATTTGCTATGGATTATGTTTCTGCACCTCAATTACATATGACTTGGATTGCTAAATTAGCACAACAACATAGACTAAAAGAACAATATATTGAAGCTGGATTATGTGAGGTTCATTTGGTATTATTCATTCATCACCTATTACCAGAAGAATTAGTATCAACCAACGTAGATGTTTTGAGCACAACATTTGGTAAATTTGTTCCAAACACTTCTGTCCCTCCTAATCCACAATTTACTGCTCGTCTTACAGAGGATATGATTCTTCAACATATTACTGCTGCTTGTCATGACTTTGAACATGGAAAAATTCCATGGTATGGGTTAGTGGTAGCATCAGTTGTAATCCCTTATTATATTAAAAAGAACAAATACAAAGAATTGGGTTATATTCATGACTTTGTTAATAGGATGTATGCCATGATGGTTGATAAAAATTGTGATGGAATTGTTAAGGATTTTATTCAATTTTATTATGTTAGGCTGTTTGGAACTGTCTTTGGAGATTATTTAAATGGTAAGTCGTTTATATATGCTTCAACCAAAGAAAGAATGTCTTATTTATTAAAAGAAACAAATGACATTCTTCCTCCAACGTACAAAGGAGAAAAACATTTCTTACGTTCATTAGACCAAATCACTGAAAAAGTTATTAAATCTGAAAATGAGTGTAATATACTTTGGACTCAAGTTCAACCAGTTTATGATAAAGGCAATTTTATTCAATATAGCTCAACATTTAATTGTGATGAATTATGTCTGTCTAAAGAAGCAAGTGAGACAGAAGGTATTTCACTTCAAAATGCACCAGTACTAAGTTTATGCAAAAAGAGAACAATAATAAGAACTCGTTTTGTACTACCAAGCCTTTTAACAAGACAAGTTGTTGAAAGTGAGGAAGTTGTTTATTTAACTTCTATTGAAATTATTATTGAAGAGATAGAAAAAAGAAAGAAGAACATTGATTATTTTCTTTCAGAAAGTAAGAAATTCTTCCAAGACGTCGATTTTGGTATTGTTTCTTCATTACAAAAGAGTATTGGTGATTTTTTCTTTGGTTCTACTGATGTACAAGTAGGAAAACTAAATATTTTTAATACGATCAAAATTATTGATGTATTAAATAAATTTTTCTCTGATTTAAACCAATTTGAATTTACCTTATACTTACAACTTTATGACATTGTTAAAGAATGCACAAATTGTTGTGCTGAAGCGTTAGCAATTGTTAAAGAAAATACAAAGATTAGAAAAAGTAGTGCAAACCTAGAAAAGATAGAAAGGCAACTACCAAGAGTTGAACGAGTTCTTGATGATATTGACAAAAGGCTAGAAGAAAGAAAGGAACAAAACGTATTGTAAAGAGCTTATAACATTTAATTGATGTTCAAATGACTTTTTAAAAACACAAACAGTTTAAGTGAAACAAAGCAATCCATTTTATCCAAAAAAAAATATGAATCAACACATTTTTTGGTTTTTAATTTTTGTGGGAGATAATTCTTGTTATACTATCCATAAACTATTTATAGATTATGAAAAGTCTAAAAAGGTAAAAATCAATTAATTAAGTATTAATAGAAATAGCTTCTATTGTTTCTTCTTCATTTTCAATTAATCCTGTCAATAAGTCTTCTTCTTGTATCTCTATTGAGTATGTTTGGTTATTAAGAATCAATATTCAATAACATTCATCATGTTTTTAATTACATGGTTTTTTACATCTTTAATGATGTCAATGTCAATTTTTAACTCTTTAATTAATTTAGTACTTTCTTTATTTATTAATCCATTTATTGAAATTAATACTGGATTTATTTTGACATCTTTTAATTTTTCTATTTTCATTAGCCTATTCTTTAATTCCTTATACTTATTTCTTTTATTCCAATACACTCAATTAATATTGTGAATAGCCACAATAGTCATATCAAATATTAGACCAATTCGATTCTTTTTATCTAATACGTATATGTCTGTTATTTTGTGATATTGTCATTCATTTTTAGGCATTATTTGTTTGTTAAATATCATAGTGATGTCTTTATATTGGAACATTGTTTCATATGGTGGTTTTTATATTGAATATTTCCTGTATATTTTCTTATTAACATATCTTCAATTGTTATTTCATTTTGAATATTCAATAATAGTTATGAGATGTTATTTAGTAAATATTAATGTATTAACATTTAAATCATCATTGGATGAATAACTTATTGTATTAGATATTCTTCATTTTTTCATTTTCTATTTGTTGTTTCTTTCTTGTTCTTTCACTTCTTTAACACTTCATAATTACTATTGATATTTCTTACTATCATTGTTAATTCTTTGTTGAATGATTATAAAACTTTTACCACTTCATTCATGAGTTAGTTATTCATTATACATCTGTTTTAATTTCATTTGAATATTATAAAATCAATAAATAATAAGAATAACAATACAGAGTTAAATACATTAATAACACATCATTTCAAGTATTATTTTTAACATCATTCTATTTTAAATAAACATCATTCATTTTATTAATTTTACAATAACATTAATTATATAATAACAATAATAATAATATAATAATAAATTATAGAATTGGTAAATATCTATAAATAAAATATTTTTGTGTTTTTAGTTTGATATTTTTACTCAACTTTTTGTTTATTCTTTTTCATTTCTTATTTGACTTTTTGTTTAAATTATATCTCAATCTCATTTCATATCTCACTCATTCTTCTCTTCTTTCTTCTTCATTTCTTTTGTTGTTATTTGAATTATTTCATTCACTTTCTCCATTTTCTTTTAATTTAGATTGAAACACTTCTCATTCATATTATTTTCTTTTTCTATTTATTATCATTTCATTTTACTTCCAATGTTTTATTACTCATTAACACTTATTTATATTTTCATTATTATCATTCTCTTTACTTATCATTTCATATTCATTTTCCACTCAATTTCAACTTTTCTTCACAATTTCAAGATTTCTTTTAGAATTTATCTTTATGTACATTATTTCTATTGACTTTCATTCTCTTTTCTATTCTTTGCTTTAATATTCTTTGCTTTTCTTTACAAGATTTGATACGAAGAAAACACAAAAATAAATAAGACATTCTTCAAAGTAAAAAAGAAGAAAAAGACTTTGCTCAAATGTAATACATCACTCAATGCTTGAATTTACAATGTATTTCTGAAGATATTTGAAAAGGACAATAAGATAATTAAAGAAAGGATTAAAAAATTCAAAGGTTGTAAAGCAAGAAAGTCAAAAGAGTTTTTAACAAGATTTTTATAAGGAAGTGAAAGTCAAAGTAAGAAAAACAAGAAAGGAAATATAAAAAAGAAATTAAGTCATTAACCATTCTAAGTTTTTATTCAAAGTAATAAAAAGGAAAGAAGAGAAGAAAAAATAAAAAGAAATAAAGGCAAAAACATAAATATATCTGCCATAAAGCAACGCGCAGGAGTTGAGAACAATTACATACATACACATTCAGAAATGATAGAACAAGCAATTCTGAAAAGTTCATTCATAATAGTTTCAACAGTTGGTTGTTTTTTCATATGTTCAAGAAGTTGAGTATCACAAACTTCTGTTCCATCAAGAAAGAGTGGTTTAGGAAATCCCCAATTTGAATAATTTTCTGCTTCACTTTTAAAAACAACAATAAACTTTTTTTGTGAAAATCCAAAAGAAGATACTTTTAATTCAGTATCTTTATGTTCACAAGTAAAGAAATGATTAATATTACAATAGTCTGTTACTTCTTTTACTAATTGTTTAAATCTTTGTGATTCAGTACGAGTTGAATATTGACAACGAATAGACTGAAGTTGAATTTGTTTTAATGTTTTAATCATTTCTTTTCTTTTAATTATATTAGGATCAATCATAACTTTAGGAATAATTTTTAATGAATGTTTACAAAACTTACTTTTATCTGTTGGTTGAATTCTTAATTTTGGTTTTTTAATAACAACAGGTAATTCTTCGTCACTATCAACTACTCCTTCTGAATAACTTCTTTCTACTTTAGGGTTTTCATTTTTTGTATCTACTCCATTATCTTCAATAGATTCATTACTCTTTTCGATTTTTGTTTCTGTATTATTAGTGTTCTTACTTTTATTCTTAGAACAATACTCTTCATCACTAAGTAAACATGATGTGGTAATTCCTTTTGCAAATTTAAATCTAAAATACTCATTGTGTCTCCTAGTAGGTTTTGTTGTTAAAAAATTTATTGGTGGTAATTCATTATCCCCTATATTTTTTTGTACTCCAATAAATGAATTAATCGTCTTACTTAAATTTGTATGTGGCGTTGTAGTGATATGCTGAATTCTCTTGTGGGGAGCTTCAGCGTGCAACATAGACGATTGACTTTAATAAAAGAATGTTCGATCCCTTCTTATACTCCTTTCTTTTTCTTTTTTTTATATCATACAGTTTATTATATTTTTATATTATCCTATTTCTTCTTTTTTCTTCTTTTTCTAGTTTCTCTATATGGCTTTTATTTTGTTTCTTTCTAACTTTTGTTTTATTTAAAAATCATCAACTTTTTTTACATGTCTATAGTTTCCTTTATTATTCCTTTATAACTCTTAACAGTTGTGTTTTTTGAACTTTTGATTTACTTAAACAATCTTCTTCGCTCATTTTTTACTTTAATTTCTTAATTCATTTCTTTATTAATGTGTTTTCTATTTTTTCCCTGTTTTAGGGTTCTATTGTAGAAGATTCCTCTCTTTTGTTTTTCTATTACTTTGCTAAACCTGAAACGGAATTTAGCACCAACCGACTTACAAATCAATTTATCGTTGTTTTTTTTCATTTTTTCTTTGGCTTTTCTGCAAAACTACTCTCCAGTTTCTGCTTTATAAAACATAAAATAACGAACAATCATTCATATTCAATCTATCTTTCTTATTCAATTTCATCAAAGTGGAATGTACGTAATTGTCTAAATTGTTTCCCACTCATATGTCTCAACTTCTTCTTATTTGTAATTTGTTGAACAATAGTATTTTTGGCAATGTTTTCTTTCTTTCTAATAATTGCCTGCTTTCTTGCTTCTTTTCTTTTTGCTTCTTCTTCTGCTTGTCTTGTTCTAATCTCTTCGTCAAGTGCTCTCATCATTTGTCTACGTTTCTTCATTTCCATTTTTTCTTCCCAACTAATTCCAGCCATTGCTACATTGTCTTTAATTGACCTTTTTTTATATGCTTCTTTCCATGGTCTTCCAGATACATTAGCTCCACGTATTGGTTTTTTAATTTCTTTCTTTTCTTCTTTTATGTCTGGTTCTTCTTTTACAATAATTTCTTTTATTATCTCTTCTTTTTGTTTCTCACATTCATTTGTATTTATTTGTTGTTGCTGTGTTTCACTACTCATCTTCTTATCTTCTTTTTTTCTTTTTAAGGGTTTTTTTGATTTCTTAAAAAGTCTTTTAGAATATAATTAAATTATATTTATAATATCATCATTATATTTCCCTTCTTTATTCTTTTCTTTAAACAATTAATGATAAGATGGTCCAATGGTTGTTCTATGAGACACTTTCCATGGCTTTTGGTCTTTTTTAACTCCATTAAATAATGGCTTTAATTTTTCTTTTCTCATTCTTTCATTCAATTGTGTTCCATCTGATTTCTGATAAAAGGCTGGTGCTAGTTCAATAAGCCATTGAGGATCAATAGCTATTATTTCTCTCATATATTCTTTGGTAGTTAATACAAGTTCATGATATACAACCCATTCAGGATTTCTTCCAAATAATGAACTGGTAGGATGGATAAATACTTGTTGACCGTCAACTAATGTCCTATAGCCTTCTTGAGGGTCTCTTTTTGCTGCATGAACAAAAAAGCCAGAAACAATAGATTTAATAATTGGAATAGGATTATTATGAGAAGAAATAAGTTGAATATGATATTTTTTCATTATTTTTATTAATTGTTTTCTAATATCTTCACATTTATATAATGATCTAAAGTTAATGTAATTTTCTTTACACCAACTAGGAGATTTTCCATTCTTTATCCAATTATTATAAACTTGTAACATTGTTAAATGGTCTCCAGCTGAACTACTTAATTGTCTTTTTCTTCTATCAGCTTCTTCTTCTTTTTCTTTTGGTCTAATAAATAAATTACCTACACTTAATGCTGCTACAATTGTCACTACTTCTTCACTACATCCAAACTGTTCTGAAACAATTAACATTTTTGCTAATGGTGGTTCTAAAGGAAATTCTGCCATTTTTCTTCCAAGTTGTGTTAATTTTCCATCATCATCTAATGCACTGATGGCATAGAGATGATGTAATGCACTAATTAATGTATTGTGCATTGGTGGATCCATATAATCAAAATCAATAACATTATTAATTCCAATTGCTTTTAATATTAAAACAGTATCAGCAAGATTAGCTCTTTGTATTTCTGGAATACTTACAATAGGCATTTCATTTAAATATGCTTTTTCTGTATATAACCTATAACATTTTCCTGGACCAGTTCTTCCAGCTCTACCAGCTCTTTGGTCAGCACATGCTTGACTAATTGGAGTTATTAATAATTGGTCCATTCCAAGTCTTGGATTATGTACTTTTTGTTTAACAAATCCTGAATCTACAACAAAATAAATCCCATCAATAGTAATAGATGTTTCAGCTATATTTGTGGCAACAATACATTTTCTTGTAAATGGTGGTGCTGGTTCAAAAATCCTTTTTTGTTGTTCAGTAGATAATGAAGCATAGATAGGTAAAGCAATTAATTTAGGATATCTTTTATCTAATTTTTGAACTTTTTCATTAATTATTGAACAAGTTGAATCAATTTCTTCTTGTCCTGTTAAAAAGAATAAAATATCTCCAGGTGGTTGTGTGAGATGAATTTTCATAATAGTTTCAATTCCACTTTGAATATAATCCATTTCTGGTTCTTCTAAATATAATTTTTCTACTGGAAATGTTCTTCCTGGAATATGAATAATAGGTGCTTTATTAAAATATATAGAAAATTTATCTGCATCTAATGTAGCTGATGTTATTATTAATTTAAATTCTGGTCGACGTTTAATTGTTTCTTTTAATAATCCAAATAAAATATCTATTCCAACTGTTCTTTCATGTGCTTCATCAAGAATAAGAACTTTATATTGTGGTAAATCTCTATCAACAAGATATTCTCTTAATAACATTCCATTTGTCATATATTTAATTCTTGTTTTTTCGGTTGTTTTATCTTCAAATCTAATACTATATCCTACTTCTTCTCCTAATTTTACTTTCATTTCTTCTGCAACCCTTTGAGACACACTAATAGCAGCTACTCTTCTTGGTTGAGTACATCCAATTCTTCCATTTTTACTATATCCATCTTCATCTAAGTATTGTGTTAATTGGGTTGTTTTCCCACATCCTGTTTCTCCAATAAGAATAATTATTTGATTCTTTTTAATACTTTCCATTAATTTATTTCTCATTGAATATATTGGTAATTCTTTCCTTTTTTCTTCAATACTTTTTTTATATTCTTTTGTTGCTTTTTCTTCTCTTTGTTCCCATTCTTTTCTTTCTTTGTCTTTTGGTGCTATGACCCCTATTTCTTCAATAACCTCTTCTATACTTTTAATTTCTTTAATGTCTGCTTCTAATTCATTTTCTTTCTTTCTTTTTTTGTCTTTAATTTCAATTCCTTCTATTTTCTTGTCTTCTATTTTTTCTTGTTTCTTTTCTTTCTTATCTTTTCTTTTCTTTGCAATTTGAGTTGCCATTATTGCACTTCTTTGTAAATGTCCTTCTGGTTGTTTTTCTACTTCATTTATTTTTGAATTAATAATTTCTTTAATTTTCCCTTTAAGAAACCTTGGTTCTTCTTCATTTAATTTAACATCTTTTATTGTTATTTCATCTGTAGAGAGTTCTTCTATTGGTAAATCTGATTGTTTCATTATTCCTGCTGCAATTAATTTTTCCATTTCATTTCGTTCTTCTGAACTTATTCTTTTTCTATCACAACTCTTTTCATTTACCCTTCCTCTATCTTTCTTTCCTATTGTGTTAATATCTTCGTCATTAATTTTTCTTCTTTTATACTCTTCATTAAATCGTTTACTTCTTGCTTTTCCTATTTCTTTTCCATTTAATTCTTGATATAATTTTCTTTGGTCATATATTTCATAAAATCTTCCAAGTTTATTTGGTTCTTCAATTTTCATAATTGTTTGGAATTTATGAATAAATTCTGCTCTACTTTGACATCTTTTAATAACTGCTAAAATATTTTTTGCTATGTTGACGTCTGCTGTTCCATATAATTCTTCTAAGTAAAAACAATAATCAGATAAGATTTCAATCTCTTCTAAGATTTCCATTAAAGAGTCACTTTCTTAATATGGAAAATACTTGTTCAAGTTCTATTAATTTCTATTAAAAAACCTTTCTATTAAAAAACATTTTAATTCATAATTATTCTGCATCATCTTCTGTCATTGACTCTATAAGTTCTTTCTTTTTTGCAATTATTTGTTCAATTCGTTTATTAGAAACATCTTTATCAAATTCTTTATGATTAATTGCATCTTTACAAATTTCAGTCATTGACTTAGAAATTGCCAAAAAATTAGGTCGTTCATTAGGTTCTTGTTTCCAACAATTAACAATAAGAGACCGAAGCTTGTCTGGCATCTTTTCATCAATTTCTAATCTTCCACCATTAATCACAATATTCTTAATATCAAATACTGATTTACATTCACTATATGGTTCTTTAGCATAAAACAATTCCCAAGCTGTAATAGCAAAAGAAAAAACATCACTAGCATTATAATATTTATCTTGATAACATTCAGGTGCAATATATATTGGTGTTCCAAGACCTTTATCATTGTTTTTTCTTTTAGTAAATCTAGACGTACCAAAATCAGTAATTTTTGCAACACAACCAGAATCTGAATATAATGAATTTAATAAAATATTGTCTGGTTTTAAGTCAAGATGCATAATATTATTTTCATGAAGAAATACCATTCCTTTAGAAGTGTCATATAAAATTCTCATTTTAAGGTCAAAAGGTAATATAATATTTTCTGAATTATCTTTTCTAATATAGTTAGATAATGACCCTAATGGCATGTATATTGTAACCATACAAATTTCTGGAATATAAGTAACTGATCCAATATAATTCACAATAAATGGATTTCTTAATTTACTAACTAATTCACATTCTCCAATAACTTCTTCTTTTAATTCTTCCATTTCTTTATCATTTAGATTTTCCCAATGAAATTGTTTAACAGCAACTGGAATACTACGATATTTTCCTAAATAAACAGTACCCATTGCACCATTTCCAATTGGTGGTTCTCTAATTTGTAATTCATCTAAATCAAGATTAGTAGAATTAGTTGCTTCTGTAGCAATAATAAAATTCCCATAATATTTTTTATTAACACTTTTCATTAAAATATCCATATTTTCTTTATCTTTTTCATTCCATGTTTCAAAGTCTTTGTCTTTAAGAAGATGTGTTATTTCTTTTAATGTTTCTTTCTTTTTACTAAAATAAATTGTATATGGTATTTTCATTCCCATAATTTTTGTTGTACAAAATAATGTCATCATAATTGTTTCTGTTTTTTTATGTTTGCCTTTAATTGTTAATATTTGTGGTTCAAAATAAAATACATATTTTGGTGTTTTTGGTGTATGAAAGATTATTGTCATCCATTTACTACTTTTATTTTCAATTTCAACATCTTGGAATCTTGTTTCATTAATATTTGTAGTTTTTCCTTCATTCCCAAATGATAAATCATTTCTTTCAATTTTATATGGTAATTCTATTCCTTTATTTTCTTTAATTGCTCTACTAATATCATGATAATATGTAGCTTGTTGTGTTCTATAAACAGATATAGAAACTCTCTTTTTTGTTCTAAATACAAAATAAAAAATACTTATCAGCATTATTAGTATTATGATTCCACATCCTCCTACAATAATTATTGATACCCACCAGATGTTTTCTTTCTTTTGACATATTCCATTTTGACTAATATATCCTTTTTCACATTGACAATAATTATTACATGACGTTGTATTATCACACTCTTCTCCTTCTTCTATTCTACCATTTCCACATGTTATTAATTTACATTTTTGTTCTTCTGTTACTATATAATTTTTATTACATCTACATATTTCAGTATTACATCCAGTTCCTTCTAAACATTCATCTTTTCCTCCTATAATTTTATTTAGACATGTATTTGATACACACCTATGTTCTTTAGTACTATATCCTTCATCACATGTACAATCTCTAGATTTACATCCTGTTTCTCCATAATAACATGTACTACTATCAGATGGGTTAATATCA